AAAAAAAAAAAAAAGAAAACTGTCACGAATGCGGCGTTACAGTTTTACAGATCATGCACGATACGAGGAGTGTAAACGTCAAATGAAAGTTCATCCGACGTATAGCTTCGACCATTCGTTGAATTCATAATTTACACGATACGACACGTTGCAACGAAATGTTTTTATCTAACACATCGAAACGCCGCAATTCCTTTGTATTACCTTCAATGCTTATCTGATTCGACACGCGCGCGCGCGTGCTATACATAATTCGATTTGCCCATGTATCATCCGATTTCTTCGATAACACTAGTGTACGACTATAATATATCCGTCGTATGGAGCATACTGCTGAATCACTTGCGGTGTTTCAAGCGACAATCGGTCGGTCGTTGAAATCTAGATTTCTACGTTGACGTGACTTGCGAGAGATCGATGCCGATCGACTCGTTGAATTTCCACCATAACTCAGCCGTACACGTGAACGTCGTTGCATGCGAGCGAGTTTCATCGCAGATGCAAGTGACGATAGCATCGAACGAATTTCGCACGAAATCGAATAAAGACTTGGTTGTAAAGAGAGACTCGGGTCGAGGAAAGATCGACGGTGAAGACGCTTGCTTCGAGTGGTAGGACCAGTGCGAAGTGGTTGGCGACCAGTCACGGGCAAGGTCGGCGAAAGCTGCTGCACAGGTGGCAGCACGACTCGACAAAGGACGGTTATAGACCCTCCTCGTTGGTGTCGTGGTATCGCTGCCAACGAGAAAAGTGGGGGGGTTTATGGCTTCGAGCCATAAAGGTGGGGGGAGGTTTTCCCTTTCCACTTTCCATGCGACCACCCCTCTTGCGACTACTCGTCCCTCTCGCACTTGAAGGGACGGAAGGGGTGGCGTGTATACTTTCGACAATGTGTGCAGCAACGGTTGTCACCGTGTTGAATACCCGCACTTCGACAGGTTCCACGAGTGAGACGTTTCTAACGCTAGACCGCGGTGCAACGAAGAAAGAATCATGGACGGGTTCAGCCTGCACTCGGTAGAGTGCGCGCCCATTGCATTTTTGAATTCAATCTTGCACCTTTCTCTCCGATGTTTGATTGATTCACTCACTGGACGGGCGTGATTGTCACGCACGTAACCTGCCTGCCCGCTGTTTGTTCTTTAACATCACATGATCCTATGATCCGTAGAGGCGGTTTTCTTTCTTTCCTTTTACATCGACCGAAAAGTACGCTCGTTGTGTACAGTCAAGATACACTTGTGAGGTTAACGCATGCAATGATAACGTATTTCACGCGCTACTTTTGTAAAATTACCACCTTATTACGCCTGCTATCTCTCTGCATAACGTTTT